TGGGAAAAAAAATCCATCTTAGGCTGACTTCATTCAAAATATGCAGTGTTGGCTATCATGCCTGTGAAATAAACAGTGCAGATTCTGAAGGTCTCTTTGCGGCACCTAGGGATCAGCAATAAAAACAAATCAAAAAATTGATTTGTATATTAACTGAACTCAGAGCACTGGCAGAAGATCTATGCAGGTGATTTCAGATGTAAAAATCCTGTCAAGTGACTGCTGGGAAGGAAAAATTTATTTTCTAGCAGAGCTGTCCAGGTCTGATTTTTAAAGAGTTGTAATATTGCAAAGCTTCAGCCCAACTACCAAACCTTCCCATTTGTGAATTTTAGAGCTGTGTGCAGCTGGTTTATGTGCACAGACATATTAACACAATATGTGTGTGAATATTTGAATAGAATATAATAGAATTTTTTATTGGCCAAGTGTGATGGGACACGCAAGGAATTTGTCTTGGTGCATATGCTCTCTGTGTACATAAAAGAAAAGATATGTCCATCAAAAATCATAAGGTACAATACTTAATGATAGTCACAAGGTACATATAAGCAATCAGGAAATAATATAAATATAAATCTTAAGGATACAAGCAAAAAAGTTACAGTCATAAGTGAAAGGAGATGGATGGTGGGAACGATGTGTTGGAAGAAATATCCTTCTGGGTTCAGCTCCAAGTGGGAAAAAGACACTGGAAACATAGGGAGACTGCTTGGAAAGATGGTTTAATGGTGGACAGGATCACATGGCTTGAGTCCCTGAACAGAAAAGGCAGATACAGTGAGTCTCCGGGTTTTATGCTCTCTCTGGCTTTGAACTTCCTGGGGCCCAGAAAGAGTATCCTGATTGGTTGTCAGACTCCCAGGGGATGGGGGTCTTAGCTAGCCTTGCTGGCTGATGTAATCTTCCCAGGTGCCATGTGGTGAATTTCTGTCCTAGATTGTCTTGCAGATGAGGTCCATTGACAAAGATTGAGTTTCTGCCTCTGGCCCATTAACAAAAGGGTGGGGGCAGAAAGGTGGGAGCTGCTTTGTCTTTAAAACATGCTTCTCCATTTCTCATCCAGGGAAACATAATATTCTGCCTTTTTAATATTTCCCAAAATATTTCATTCTTCTAGGAAAGGGGTGGATGCTAACTTCCTACAGATGAGAAGATTAATAGTAGTGCAGACTTAGTAAATAGTTAGACAGTGTTGAGGGAATTATTTGTTTAGCAGAGTGATGGCGTTCAGGAAAAAACTGTTCTTGTGTCTAGTTGTTCTAGTGTGCAGTGCTCTATAATTACTGGATGACAATATTGAATGACAGTTTGTGGAGATATACAAAGGCTTTCCCAAGCGGTTAATATGGGCTGCAAACACCTGCCCACCCCCCCCACCCCCGCACTTGAGTTATAGTGCATCTCCTTGGTGCCATCTTGTGGTCATCGAGGTTCTTGCAGTCTAGTACAATGTGAAAGTCTGTGGACTTCAACTCACAGAATTCCCTAACTAGCATGATGGGAATTGAAGTCTAAACATCTCAAAATTTGAAAACACTGAACTAGATGAATCTCAGTTTGACAAAGTGCTTGGACAAGAGGCATCATCTTGAAGGAAAAGCTTTGCATTATCTTGAAGATTTTCTGATACAAACTTTAATAACTAGGGCCCATATTCATGTCATTGATGTCACAGCCTATCTTAAAGGTACTGCTAGATATGTTGTTGGTATTATTTCCTCCTCCTCCATCTCCATCATCATCATCCCATTTTGATGCATTCACTCATTAAATGTAGTGAACTAGGATCCATTTGATAAGAGTTATTGCTCAAGAGGTATAGAAAACTGTAACAAATACCTCTGCTATCTGCAATGAGAGGTTATGTTTAAGAAAGAAGCCAGCATTCCTCAGACTTCAGAGAATATCTCATGATTAGCAGAGGAGATTTAATTTTGAATAAGTAATTGTGATAAGTCAGATAGTTATCTGGGATAGCTCTGCCCAAACAATAGCAGTTAGGGACCTCATCATTTGCCTGATTTGCCTGTGATTTTCCACTTCATGTGACTCGTTTTATCCAGTTGACAAATCTATTAACTTTTTTCATAAAACACACATTTAAATCTTCCCTTAAACGTTTGACAACAATGCACTGTCTAAGGAGGCATTTGACGGAAATACAAATGTGAGTTCATTATTGTCACATGAAGAAATGGGAACCCATCCATGAAAATAAAATGCCTTAGAAGATGAAAGAGGGAGGGAAGGAGGTGGTGTCATGTTGGGCAGTTTTGCATGGTTTCCTGGCATAGTGGCAACAATGAGGTCATGGGCAAAGGCTGGGAATGGCATCTGTCTAGATCAGGGGTCTCCAACCTTGGCAAGTTTAAGCATGGTGGACTTCAACTTCCAGAATTCCCCAGCCAGCTTTGCCAGCTGGAGAATTCTGGGAGTTGAAGTCTGCCAGGCTTAAAGTTGCCAAGGTTGGAGACCCCTGGTCTAGATATGGCATACATCCCCCTCCCCACTCAACACTGGGTGCTGCCTCCCTTGCCATTTTGGTTTTGGCTATAACAGATACAGTACCTGACCTCTACAAGCAGCTGCTCACACAATGCCCAGTCAGTGTTTTCCAAAGCATGAGTCAGGTCTTTGATGGCTTGCTTCTTAGTGTGTGCTCACTGATTTTGTGAAACAGCACAAGGCCTCTTCCAAAATGCTTTTGTAAGACAAAGTTAAGACTCTAAAAAAAGAACTTATCTTTTTTTTAATGTCTCTTTCTCTCCCTCTCTCTGTGCAGAAAGCCAATGGTATTGGAAAATTGAAAAAGATGTCATTTATATGATGACATCATGGCTCTGCCCTTGATCACTCTGCATTCAGAGAAAGCTTAATTAAATGTGGACTATTCATCACAGTATGCATGTGGATACTTCTATGTGATCAGGTATTTGCTGGCATCCCCTGCCTGTTTAATGTGTTCAGTAAACACTGTTATTGTAAGGGGGGAGGGGGAGGGAATAATCAGTCAGTTGCTGATAAAAGAGTAGGAATGTGCACACAACAGAAATGTAAAGGCTTTCCACCTTTTTCCTATCTGTAACAGCTGCATAATGGATAGAAACATTCCCTCCCATTGTACCTTTCCTCTACCAAAAAGCGCTTTAGTTGCTGACCTCATTTGTCCCTGGTCCTAGTGAAACACCTTGAAGGGGTTGTACTTTTTCCATCAGTAATAACATTGATCTTTCTGTACTCTTCTGTCTCATGGCATTTGTATTCTCCCTCCATCGCCTTCCCTTTCAGAACTGCAAGTCAGACTTTTAGGAAGTATAATGGACCTATCACTGTATATTCATATAAATGTTAGATGTCAAAAGCTTCTCAGGAGAAGAAGCAACCATTCTTGCTACATTTCTTGACCTCCAATCCTCCCTCAGTTAAGACTTAGCTCCTCAGACTGTGTGCTGTGCAAGGGAATAAAACCTTGGTTGCCACTTCTTTTCCATGAGCAGCAATGAAATTCACACTCTTAACTGGAGGTTTCTGTGAAGTAAGTCTGAAGACATTCCACAGAATATACCATTAGAAAGAGTGACAAAGTGAGCAGTGCCCTCCCGCCCTTTTTCCAGCGAAATACATTGATGGACATATACCGTGGCGTCACAATGACATTTGGTATGAAGGTAGCTTTGGGAGCAGGTCAAGCAAGATGATGGATATTGATCTGGAGAAACTTTCCAAGGGATAGAAGATTTCTCTTGTTTAATGGAAAGAGAAATACTGTATATGGCCAAGTTAATGCTCAGGTACAGCAAGTCAAAAGCTAGCAAGCAACAGCAGCAAAGAAGAAATATTTGGAGACTCTTCCCGTCCCCTGGAGATGGTGGGGCGGAAGTCTGCAGTAAGTCACAGGTTTCACATCAAAGTTATCATATGCAGAAGGAATATGATGATGAAAGGCAAACAGCAGAGAAAAGTAACTTCAAATGGGTGCATTCCATAATGGCTGTTTATGGGAAGAATATGCTGGTGCCTTTCAAGACAGACAGGAAGACAGACAGACATGTGTGACATAAGTGGCATATTTCCAACAGTGTAGTGAAATAAGAATATTCTGCATTTACCTGGAAGGAAAACTAAAAGGATTTTTTCCCTTAGATAATTGAGAGTATGGTAATAAACAAAGGTGTGATTTTCTTTTTTCAGGGAAAAAGAATTCCTTGCATATTTCTCTTGTGTTGTTGTATCTTTCTTCTCCCAATGCAATGTTTCTGATAAGAAAAAAGATGAAAGAGTTAAAAAAGAAGAGATGTGAGGGTACCTACTCTAAAAGTTATGTCTGAGTCAGAGCAATTGCATAATAATTGCCTCGTGTAGAAGCATTTTACTGCTTTTTTCCACAAAGGTTTTACATTGCAGGGAATTGGAATATAGAATTGCTCTGCAAATTCATAACAATTAGCAGAATGGCGATGAATTATCTACACTGAAATCATTTTCACTCCACCAAGATCAACCTTACTTCAATCTAGATGCCCTCCAAATATGTTGGACTTCAGCTGTCTTCATTCCTAATCTACATGCGGTGCTTTCTAGAACTTTTTTTGTTTCAACACATTTGGAATACATTGCTTTGAAAATCCACTGAAAATTATTTTGGGGTCTGCTCATATCCATAAAGTTGGCTTTACTTTCTGTTCCAATCTCATTAATCTCAGCCATGATGTCAAGCTGAAGAAATTTCCGGAGATATCTGCGGGCAGGTGACTGTAGGATTTGAATTGGACAACCTCACTTCAAGTATTTCCATTTTCCATTAGCCTTTTTGCCCTTTAATTGCCATTTTGTGAGAAAGACATAGAGTATGTTTTTGCAGCGGTCATATAAGCACCCTTGTAAATGGCCTATCGCTTAATCAGTTTAGTTGCATAGTTATGAATAACAGTAGGTTGCACTCCCTTTCTGATACTGGCTTGTACTGGCTGTGGTTGCTAGGCAACCAGCATGCATTTTCCATCCATTGGAGCTGGCAAAATGGCCACCTAGCATGGTTGCCTTTACAACAGAGTGTCTCTAAAGGATGGAGCACTACTAAGGAAGTTAAATAATCCAGGTTAAGAGTTCTTAATGATAAAAACTCTCATGCCAATGATTTCATCTAACTATAGCACTAATATAGCATCCAGAAAGTGAAGCTGAAACATTAAAATGCCAGTAATCGAAAACAGCTCTTCTACATCAAGGTAATGATGTAGGCCAATGCAAAACATCAGTGGTTCCAGGAAAGAAATTCAGATCATGTTTCACAATCTGGAATTTTTCAGATGCTTTGGCTGGAATAAGAACAAGCTCTATAGCTGACACATCTAGAGAGTGCCAAATAAGGCTGAAGTAACTTGGGGAAATGACTGGGGAATGCAGCAGTCAAGAGAGCCATGTAGATGAATGATTAAGGAAGGAGGCTGGCAAGTTTGTGTATAAGAGATGATAAGATGACATAACCTAAATAGAAGCTAGAAAAATGCAGGCCTAAGATACAGGCTCTGAGTTTGCTCAGGCATAAATGTAGGCCAAGCCTGCATTTTACATGAGGTAAATTAGTAGGTTTCTGGGCTGCTGGATTTCTGTGTTACAACCTTGAGAGGCATCTCAGGGGGCACTTTGAACGGATGATTGCATGGAGCCCAGAAAATCTCTGCAATATGCAGCCTTTCAAATATCACATATAACGCCAAGCATGGTACTGCCATTTAATCAGAGTGTCTTATTTGTGGTATTGTAACTAAACTGGGCATGCATTTGGCATAAGTACACAAAGCTTTTTTAAGTTCGTTATGTCTCCTGAATGGGTAAAAATGCTGCCCAGTTTGATTTCATTTGGTGACAGATTTGTTTGACGTTACCACGTTCTGCCAGTGTCTTTTATACATGGTTGATCATTCTGCTTGGATTTTCTCATTCCTATAAATAGTTTATTTGTGTAGTTCAGAATGAGCACAACTGGTGTGGCGTCTTCTGAAAACTTTCTTAATATTACTAAAAGTTAGCAAATGCCAAATAGAGCACATAGCTATGGAAACAAATTATCAGTTCTTCAAATGCCCGGTACACACTGAATTGCAAAAAACAAATGTATAATTCTATACAATACAATGCTTAGTCATCTTTTGCAACTCAACAGTTACTGGATCCTTGGTGACACATAATCAAAAACAGATTATCTGCCTTGAATCCAAGTGATTTTCAACTCTTTTCCAATAAGCAAATCCATACACACCCAAAAGTTCCTGACTTTGAGACAAAATATCTAAAACTGTAGTCTAAGACAGCGGTCGCCAGCTGGTAGTCTGTGAGAAAATTTTGGTGGTCTGCAGAAAAATTATTTGCATTTTTTATATTGCACTAAATCAGAGATCCTCAAACTATGGCCCCTGGGCTAGATACGTGCAATGAATGTTTGTGTTGCTGCAGAGCAGTGGTGGGTTTCAAATTTTTTTACTACCGGTTCTGTGGGTGTGGCTTGGTGGTAATGGCAGGGGAAGGATACTGTAAAATCTCCATTCCCACCCCACTCCAGGGGAAGGTTACTGCAAAATCCCCATTTCCTCCCAATCAGCTGGGATTTGGGAGGCAGAGAATAGATGGGGCTGGGCCAATCAGAATTTTTACTACCGGTTCTCCGAACTACTCAAAATTTCCGCTACCAGTTCTCCAGAATTGGTCAGAACCTGCTGAAACCCACCTCTGGTGCAGAGACATTCCCTCTTCGGGGTCTTTTTGTGTGGGTTGGAGGGGGGGAAGAAATTCCAACTTGGGGTCTGCTTCAGCCTCGTAGTGCAGGGCTTTGGCGAAGGCTGGAGGGAAGTGCCGCTGGTGGCGAAGAGCCGGAAGGCCTTGTACCAGTGGGACAGCATCATGGTCTGGAACTGGCTGACCATCTCAGCCTGCTGAGCCTCCAGGCGCTGGTACCTGGCCTTGCACTCCCGCAGGTCTTCCTCTGCTTGGAAAGCCTATGCTCGTAGTCCTCAGTGAGGTGCTTGTGCTGGAGTCTCCTTCTTGGTCAGATCCAATTTGAACTGAGCCAACTCTCTCTCATGGTGGCTGCTTCCTGTTGGGGCCCTAAGGAGCCCGAGTGGGGAGGCGAGGAGTGGCTGGCAGGGGAGGGGTGAGTAGAGGCCGGCGAGGCACCCCTCGACATGAGTGACATTGAGTTGGCCATGCCCACCCAGTCACTTGACCACCTAGCCACGCCCTTCCAGCCAGTCATTAGGCAGATCACAATAGTGGTCCGCGGGATTTAAAATTATGAATTTAGTGGTCCCTGAGGTCCGAAAGGTTGGTGACCCCTGATCTAAGAAGTGCATGCATTTCCTGTCTTGCAGACTTCAACTTTTAAAACAGGCTTTGATTTGAAATGTCTGTTCCGTCTCCCTGTACTCAGTCTGAGCCTAGTCAGTCAGATTAATCTCTCAGCAACCTTCTTTCAGTGCAGTACTTGAAAATCAAGAAGAAAGGATCCCAATCAGATACCATCTCAGAAGAAAGGCTCAGGCTGATCAAAAGAAAGTCACTGAACACAAGTGCTTCTAAATAAAGAAGCATTTTTGTGCACTATGTACTGTATCAGGTTTAAATAGGACATTTGCCATTAATTTTATTTCTTTGTGTATATGTTTAGCAAAACAGCATTTAATTATATATGTTAATAGATCACAGAATATATTTGCATGTTTAGATCTCTTTATATAAAAGAAAGTTGAATTAGATGATAAAAAGAAAAACATACAAAGCTATTCACAGTTCATTGTTTATAAATAATACCTCGTACTTGACTAGTGGGTAATCTTATGTTAATTAATATTTGAAGGTGATAGGAAGTGGTGAAAACAAGACTTGATGTGCCCTACCTGTAGAAAGGGAAGTGGACAACATTACCTGGTAACCCAGTACTGTGATCACAACAACATCATTTGAGAAACAGTAGTGTATTCTTCCCCACATTTACCGTATTTATTTAGAAAACTTATACTGCTGCGAGCGCACATGGTGACTCAAGGTGACTTACAATGATATAAAGACACCATATAAAAGAAATAAAAAGAAAAAAAAGAAAAAAAATAATAACCCCCCCACCACCACAGCGACAACACACATTCATACTAACCGTTTAATGGGCTCCATCCCACTCTGGATTCCCCAGGCCCACTGACAGAATCACGTCTTCAGGGCCTTCCGAAAGAGTGTTAGAGTGTGGGCCAATCTAATCTCGGGGTGGGGGAATAATGTTTCAGAGAGAGGGAGCCATATGGAGAATCCCATCAGATGTATCTTCTTAGGGGACGGGACCCGCAACATTGCTCTTACTGTAGGACAGGCACACGTACTTTTCTTTCTGCTCTTCTTAAGAATATAAGAAGAACCCTTGGCTGAATTAGTTCAATTAGATCAAGGCCCATCTTTGGCTTCTCACACATAATAGCCATAGTAGTCAACTGTGTTTCCATTTTAAGCCAAAAATGGAAACATATCCCTCGCTCACCATTGCTGATGGGCCGTTATTATTTGGGGGGGGGCTGCCCAACCCAGTGGAAACACTGAATCTTCAAGACTAATATCCCCTGATAGATTTGTTCTCCATGAATGCATTCAGTTCCCTTCTAAAGTCATCCATTAGTGGCCATCACTGTATCTTGGGCTAATGCATTTCACATGTGCTATGTGAATGCTCCCTTGCTGTTTTAAGGCTCTTTCCAGTCAGCATTAATTGGAGATCCCTAGTCCTAGTGATTAGAGATAAGAAGAAAAACTTCCTAGTCACTTTCTACATGCCATGAATGCTTTCATACACCTTGATTTTGCCTTCCTGACACCTTTTCTAAGCAAAAGAATTAAAGATGTTCTAGCTTTCTCTAGTACTCAGTCCCCCTAATTATTTTTGCTGTTCTCCTTTGCACGTTTTTCAGTCTTATTACATCCCTTTTTCAAATGGAGATCTGATTAACATTTGTAGCCAGATATTTTCCTCATTTATTTATTTAGATAACGAGGCAAGGAAGCGGTGCAAATTGTGAGAGCTTCACCACTGGAAGCTTTCAAGAAGAGACTGGATTACTATCTGTCAGAAATGGTGTACATGGGTCTCCTGCTTCGGCGGGGGGGGGGGGGAGTGGGTTGGCCTAGATGAGCTACTGTGATGACCAGGGGTGAAATCTAAACATTTCCCCTACTGATTCTGTGGGTGTGGCTTAATTGGTGGGTGTGGCTTGGTGGTCAGGTGACCGGGTGGGCGTGGCCAATAATAATAAATAATAAAAATAATAAACAAAGTACACAAAACAATAAGAGGTACCAAAAACAACTTTCACACTTTACGCACACACAACACAACACAACACAACTGACTCACACACAATGTAAAAGCAGCTGCACTTGACCCAAATGGCCCTGCAACAAAGGAGGAACCTCACACAGCCACAAAAAGCTCAAAAACCAACTTTCACACTGTTTCCACACTGACTTAGATCTATTAATTTATTTACATCTATTTTCAGAAAGACTTACTGTATGTCTGAATTCAGTTGAGATTTTTTTTAAAAAAAGCAAAAATCTTTATGTTGCCTGCATTGAGAAGCTTTTCCAGCTTTAGTAAAAAATTGAACATGACAAAAACAAATAATCTGCTCAGTGGGAAACACAGTTGTATGGAATTATGAGGAGTCTGTACATCATTCTGGCTTCCATTCCCAGGTTTCCCCAAGAGTCCAGTGTTTCCTTTATTTCTATTGTGTAGGCTATTTTGCCAGCATTGCACACACAATCCCAAAATGCACGTTTACAGGGAAGGGAAATAGAAGAACCACAAAGGTTGAATAAATATAAAGCCTTTGAAGGAAATATGCAAGCTCCAGAAAAGAGCCTGGTGGTGGCCCTTTTGGAAAATGTATTTATTTTATTTATTTAGTTTGTCAAACATGTAGGAGATAACAGGAATAAGTATAAACATGGATATGAACACAGGAAATGGGTACGAATAAATGGGGACAGTAGACAGAGACGGTAGGCACGCTGGTGCGCTTATGCACGCACCTTGGGGGATGCATAAATGGGATATAAATTAATAAATAAATATCAATAAATAACTATAAATAAATGGGGAGAACAGAGGTGAAATGGAGTGTCTCATGTCCAATCTAAGAAGCTTTCCACAGAGTAGCATTTTGTTATGGATCCTTCTTTTTCTTTTACAGGATTAGGAGTCTTTGAGCAGCTGAGCAATTTCCACCGCTATGAACTTTTAACTAACCTCGATTAGCTGAAGTACTTAATCTTTGCTCTCATTTGCCCTTGCAAAACTGAACTTTTTATTTGTCTGATTTTTTTTTCTTTCAAGGAGACCCAGATTATATTGTATTTGATCAATCTAATGGCTCCAGTCCTTCTTTCGTTAAAGTAAACAAGCCTCGTGCTCTTAATATTTGTTCAAGAAATCTTTTTTGATCTCCATTATTATAAACTTCACTGATGTCCTTCAAGGCCTTTCAAGGATGAAATTATCCTTTGTTGGGAAAATAAAAGGATGCAACAAGCATGAGGTCTATTCATTATTTTATTTCTTTCAAAGCCTGCCTGCTCTCCAAAGGAGGGTTAATTGCATAGATGTTGCTAGATTCAGAAGTTATATTTCTGCATAACTTAATGGAAATGAACATGTATTAAAATTGCATGCACACATAGAGTATTATCTCCTGCTTGAGCAGGGGGTTGGACTAGATGACCTATAAAGTCCCTTCCAACTCTGTTAATCTGTAATCTAATCTATTAACCATCCAGACTATTTTCACATTTATTGCTGACTTCTTCTTTTATTCTAACATTTGATCCCATTCTTTCAGTTCTCAAGAGAGTAATCCTGATGACCGGCAAACAGAATGAGAGTCCTGACTCCCTTTATATGTTTTATCTTTAACATTCTGTTGCGTTGGAAAGAATAACAAGGTGGGGAAAACAATGCAGAACATAGTTTCTGCAATTCCTTGTGACCTCTTTACCAGCAGTGGCAATAGGACACATCTGTGCTTTCTTCTGTGATAGAAAGTAATGTGCTGAATCTCTTTGCATGTTTCTCCTCTCCCCTTGTGTGTTTTATGCGTATTTCAGTGTGTGTGTGTATATACATTGTTCTGGGGTGTGTGTCTTAGAACAGTCTGCAGTTATTCCAAACTGCTGCCCAGATGATTTATCTTAAGTGTGCATTGGAGGCAACACATTTTGCTGCATTCTCCAATCAGATCCAGCCCATTGTCAACCTCTTTTGCTGGCTTCTCCACCTCCACCCCAGTTCAGTTTTCAGGGATTTATTCTGCTGGCTGACACAGTCCTCCTTAGACCCTCCACATTATTTCTTTATAACATTCCATTGGTGGAAAATCATATAATGCTAACACGAACAGATGCAATTGAATATAATGAAATTTAGAAGTCCATCTTCAACAAAAATTGAAATCATTTTCTAAACTCCATTAAGCTTCATTGTATGTTATAAAACATAATTGTGCTGCAAATCATGTTAGTATCAGTTCTATGACAGAAAAGTTGTTGTACAGCATGAAGCTTATAAAAGTCTTGTATTAAATAATATTCTTAATTACTAGTCACTTGCTTTCTTTGAAGAAGTGCCGAGTTGGGTTACAATAGCTTGCAATCCTAAATATTGACTGCATGAAGGACATTTTCTGATCTTGCCAACACACATATCTGTTCTTGACTTGTTCCTTTTTCCTGTTTAAAATATGAATAAGGTCTATAACAAACAATGAGCAAAACTCTTTACAATCTAAAAGGCTTAAAACAATATTGTCTATAAAGAGAGAAAAAACAAATAATAAGAATAATTTTAACAAAAGCCCAGAGAGGGAGCTAAACATACATCCCCAAAATGAAACCATTCAAATAGTTATATTCATTTATTGGAACATGCCTGGATGAGCTTAAAAATAAGAGAAATGTAAAGCAGACCTGGATCTTTTATTTTTATCCACCCCTTTCCTATTATTTTGTTTTAAACATTGTTTATTAGCACTTTAAATGGCAGTCAGGCTAAATGCAAGAATTCCTGCATACCAACATATCTACAATACTATTTCCTTTCATGCTAAACAGTGTCATGTGAAACAGAGAAAGGAAGTATGGAATTGTAAGCCCCAAAATTGAAAGCATGACACAAGAAACAAACTACATCTAATTTAAATCAACATCATTCATTATTCCTCTTTTATACTTTCTAACCTTGCAAACAATCCTTGCTTGCATTATATTTCGTACACCTCTTCATTCTTGGCCTTTTGTTCTTTAAACTTCTCATCTCTTTCTCTCTCTGAGATTCTATCCAACCATAACTTTTTCAATTTTCCCTTTCCCCTCAATCCATTCACTCTTTCTATCAAGTGTTTATTTTGTGATTTAATCCTCATTCCTTGTATATGACGCAACCCACTCCTTTCATACTATTCGGCCTTTTGTATCTACCCACCTGCATGCAGCATTCTTTGCATCCTCTCGGTTCAATCTGTTGAGGCAGAAGCTTCAACAGAAATCTGTCAATAACTTTTTCAACTAACATTTATATATAAAATATTTTTTTTTATTTATTAGTCAGAAAAGGTGCTAACAGACCTGTGACTTTCTACTACCAAACATTGCTCTCCTCTTACATTATCTACTTCTTCATGTAGGACTCAATTTGCCTCTTTCTGTGGTTATTCTTCTTTCAGTTTTTTCAGTCCTTTTTTTTTTTTCCCAAATCCACTCCCCCCCTCCCCCAATCTATGGTATGGTGTTAGCAACCATGGGCTTGGAATTTCTCATTGTGTTCTTCATTAATTCTCTAAATTTTTCATGAGCAACTGAATCATATTTTTAGATTTAGTTTGCTGGGCATAAGCTTAAATCATATATTTGAAACAAACATGTACTTTATCTAAAATACCAAACAGCACCATTCTTGCTCACTCAAGGGTTTCCAAATGGCCTAATCACTTTTTTCTGTACTGTCATCTTTTTCCCACCCATCCATCCATGTCATCTATCAGAATAAATTTTCCTCGGGTTTGCATTTCTTCATAATGTTGCACGATTGCAAAACCCATCTTTTCCCCCCTCCATTATCACCATTCAGTGAAGCGTAACACGCATCTGTCACCTGCAAATGGATTTCTTCTTTCATATGTACCCACAAATCCTAAATGACACCAATTTATGCATTCTGACATATATTTTAGTTCTTTCATGGCTAATTAAATTTAAGTATTCATGTCCCTTCAGAACACACACAGGAAGTGAGAGAATAGCTATGCACATGAAATCCTACTCACATAATTATCAGAATCAAAATATGTAGGCGAGAAGAGTTCAGTGTATTTTATAATGGAAATATAGTCCACATCTCCTATTTACCTCTCTTGAACTAGACAAGCATATTCTCTCTCACTTTGAAATAAAATTATTTGGGCTTAAGGAAGTGTTATCAAATTCTAAAAATAAATTAAGTAAATGTGGTATCTTGCCAATCTCCCTGTTTTCTCATTATTCATTAAGCACAAAGTGATCTCTGCTCATGATAGATTGGATTACATCTGTTTGTCATAGAGACTGTTGAAGGAGGAAATAAATCACCATTCTGGAGACCCTCTGTGAAGATACGTATATGCCAAAAATGATAACTCATGACTTTTAATTAAACATAAATCGTAGTGGGGTTTTTTTCCACTCCACATAGCAAGGAAGTTTCAGTTACTCAACTGGAAAAAAAATGAATCTGAGAAGTAGACTCTAGTCATCCCTTTATTGCTTGCAAAGATTGATCTAGTGTGATGCAGGAATCAATGGCAATAAAGAAGCCATAATATTAAACCATATTCCAGCTTAGTGATATGGGTGATCCAGGATTTTTCATTAGTTTTACTGAGTATTTAGAGTTGGAAAACCAGGTATGAGAAGATTTATTGGACCATCTGCCTCCTTTTCTACACAAAGGCCTGCCTAACAAACAATCAATCTGCATACAGGATGCTCAGCCAGAAATGGAAGTTTTGCATAAAAAGAAGATATGGAAGAAAGCATTCAACTTTGTCATGATGTCCTTTTTAAAATAAAACAGAGATATGCTGCATAGATGATACAACTGGAAAGACGTCTGCTACAATTCTTCACTTTTTATTATTTAAAAGGTAAGATTTGTGATTTTTCAGGCATATTATTACATTAATAATCTGCTTGATTGAGTAAACTGTCAGATTTTAAAAAAGAACCTAGAAATGATAGCCAATCAACATTTCCTGCTTGTTTGCTTTGCTTCAAACCAGGTATGGGAAATAACTGCCTAATTCTCCAAGATTCATTTTTAAAATGAGGAAAGAACATAGTTTGTGATGGAATCTACAGCTAAAGTCGGAGAGGAGTCAAAAGACTAGCAAGGTTGGAGTCCTTGCAGGAAAGGAAGCAATGGAGGCTTCCTGGGTGCCTTTAGCTGGCTGTTTCCAAGAGAATATACAGGTAGTTCTCAACTTACAGCCACAATTGTGCCAAAAATTTATGTCGCTAAGTGAGAAATTTGTTAAGTGAGTTTTGCCCCATTTTATGACTTTTCTTGCAACAGTTGTTAAGTGAATCACTGCAGTTGTTAAATTAGTAACATGGTTGTTAAGTGAAACTGGCTTCCCCATTGACTTTGCTTATCAGAAGGTTGCAAAAGGGGATCATGTGACCCCAGGACACTGCATAAATATGAACCCATTGCCAAGCATCCAAATGTAAATCAGATGACCATGGGGATGCTGCAATGGTCATAAGTTTGAAAAATGGTCATAAGTTACTTTTTTAGTGCCGTTGTAACTTTGAACGGTCACTAAGTGAACTGTTGTAAGTCGAGGCCTACCTGTAGTCAGTCTGGCGAGATTCTTGTAAATAGGCAAGCAACAATAAAGAAGTAACTCTGATCAGCTCATCGTCTTGGTTCCATGCGCTTGGATGTTTGATAGCAAATTGTTCAGGAAAGAGGATAAATGTTCATGGTTGTACAGGTGAACAAATAGAGAAATGCATTGTAAACAGAAGTATACCAGATAGACGTGCAAACTGCATTATCGAAATTGAATGTGCCAAGTCATAAACCCTGGCAAGCAGTATTTTATTTGGCTCTAGTTTCGGTGTTTTATGAACTGCATGAATGTAAATGCACCTTTTCATACTTAGCTACAAGCTGAATGAAAAGCATCTTTTTATAAAGTATAGATGAAAATCTTCAGTATATCAGTTCTTTTGACACTTCGATAGTTTGGATTGACATACCTCTCTATATTATTGAATTGACTGTCTCAACATCCTATTTAATTCTGAATCTACCTTCATACTAGGCACAGAAAAAGTGGTTTATTCAAGGTTTGGAACAATGTTCATATCTTGTGTGGCATCATTCATAATACTATTTAACTGACAACCCCTCCCCAAGACTAGCTCATGTCACAAAAGAGATGGTATTCTTTGCTATAGTGAGGAAAGCATCCAGTTTCCAAATTTCCATTGCTAAGCA